GAATTCGCGTTTTTTCTTTTGATTCTTTCAATTTTTCAATTGCATTACGCATTATTGCAATAATTTCTATCGTTACATTTGTATGTATTCAACGTTTGTTTGTTTTAGTGTCGTGAAATGAATTATATTACACATTTTCTCTATTCACACTGAATTTAAAGATTATAACGATTAAAAATCAAGTTGACCTGTGGTCATTTATCAAGAATAATCATAATAAAGCTGAAATTATTGTGTTAAATAATTTTTTTAATACGAATTAGGAATTTATTCAACGTTTGCTTGTTAGAATAGAACGATAAATTTAGTGTAAATATAGAAAACGTATAATATAATTTATTTCATGGTATTGTAACAAGCAAACGTTGAATAAATTCCTAATTCGTATTAAAAAAATTATTTAACACAATAATTTCAGCTTTATTATGATTATTCTTGATAAATGACCACAGGTCAACTTGATTTTTAATCGTTATAATCTTTAAATTCAGTGTGAATAGAGAAAATGTGTAATATAATTTATTTCATGGTATTGTAACAAGCAAACGTTGAATACATTTTTCATTCGTGTAAGAAGAATTATTTAACACGATAAATTTAGCTGTACTATGGTTATTTTTAATCTACGACCACAGGTCAACCTGATTTTTAATCCCTACGAAATTAATTTAACCACGAGTAAGTAACGAGAACGCTAAAACCTATGTTTCCATTGAAGAATATTGTAAAAACGTATAAATTGTTATATGCAATGTTATAACAAATTGTCGGAAGTATAAATTTTTAATAAAATTGTGAAAATTGATAAATTATACCGTGTTACGATATCGGAAATCTCCCGCGAAAATCTCCCGCGAAAATTTCCCGCCTGACCTAACCGACGATTTTGCTAATGACTTTGGGGAGAGGGTACCGCAGGTATATAAGGACCCGCCGATGTCCCGCGAAATCATTTACCCTTTATACTGGGCCCTAGACACTTCGCGGCGTATTTTGACCTGAAGGTTCTGAGATGTGAATAGAGTGGTCGGGGGCTACTAGCTAGTCTATGTCCACCCTGTACACACTCAGCCTTCTTGTAACACTTGTATACATTAGAATCAATTAGAATTTCTATTACTAATTATTAAACAAATTTTAACAATTACCGGCACTCGCTAGGCACGTAATATCAGACTTTAAATACTCGACTTCGAACTTCGGTTTAGTCATAATTCTATTAATGTTATAATAACGTATAATTTATTAATTTTCACAATTTTATTATTAATTTATACTTCCAAAAATTTGTTAAAACATTACATATTATTATTTATACATTTTTGCAAGTTTCTTTGACAAATAAGTACGTTTCAACGATCTTATTACTTTCTCGTTGTGAAATCAAGTTCGGAGGATTAAAAATCAGGTTGACCCTTGGTCGTAAATTTAAAATAGCCATAGTGAAGGTGAAATTATTATTTTAAATAAATGTTTCTATACGAATTAAGAATCTATTCAACGTTTGTTTGTTGCAATACCGTGAAATAAATTGTATTATATATTTTCTCAGTTTAGACTGAATTTAAAGTTCGTAAGGATTAGAAATCAGGTTGACCTGTGGTCGTAGATTAAAAATAGCCATAGTGAAGGTAAAATTATTACGTTAAATAATTGTTTTTATACGAATTAAATATTGATTCAACGTTTATTTGTTGCAATACCGTGAAATAAATTGTATTATATATTTTTTCTGTTTACACTAAATTTAAAGTTCTGTTTACATGTTATAACAATTAGAATGTAGACGTTTTGCCGTTTCACGGTTTTTCCTCTGTTAATTATGTGTTTATAAATCATTTCAAACTAAAGCAGCACCATGCCCACCCTTAATTAAACCGTCTCAGTAGTTTACCGTAATTAATAATCTATTTTCGGAATTTATACGAGAATTTTTGAATTTTAGTAAATACTAGAGTCAGTGCATCGCGTATTGAAATAATAGCTTATACAGATAATCTTTTGAAATTACTCTTAATTAGGGAAAATCTTGAATCTTGTATGGAAGATGAAGATTTTCAGGAAATATTTATTTTTCAACAATGAATTTTTGTTTTATCGATTAATAACGTACGATTAATTGTTTTTATACGAATTAAATATTGATTCAACGTTTATTTGTTGCAATACCGTGAAATAAATTGTATTATATATTTTTTCTGTTTACACTAAATTTAAAGTTCTGTTTACATGTTATAACAATTAGAATGTAGACGTTTTGCCGTTTCACGGTTTTTCCTCTGTTAATTATGTGTTTATAAATCATTTCAAACTAAAGCAGCACCATGCCCACCCTTAATTAAACCGTCTCAGTAGTTTACCGTAATTAATAATCTATTTTCGGAATTTATACGAGAATTTTTGAATTTTAGTAAATACTAGAGTCAGTGTCCACCCTGTACACACTCAGCCTTCTTGTAACACTTGTATACATTAGAATCAATTAGAATTTCAATACAATAGACTGAATAACAATTCATTTTAACTAATACCTATTAGAAATTTTCCTTTTAAAACAAATATAAATCATTTTACCAATTACTGGTACTTGCTAGACATTTAATATCAGACTTTAAATATTCTCCTTTCGGTTCTTTTAAATACAATCAAATAATTTCTTCAATTATCGATACTGACTTGGAATACTCCGTTTCGAATAAAATATTTCGAAATTATTTTGAAGGTTTAGGGAAATAAACATTTGAATTTTAGTCATCGTTGTTCTTCAGACTTGTCGAATAGGATATTGAAATGACTTTGAGTGGTTGCTTTTTCGTTAGGGCATAACAATCAATATGTACTTTTCTTCCAGCAATTGAAATTAATTTGAAATTTTTCATATATTTTCTCTGATATTGAATTTATTTTATGACTTGCTATTTTGTTTACTAATAATTTACCATCCAAGGAATTTGCATGAATTGCATGTTAAGTAGTTAGTTGATTTATTATTGTATATTGTGAGCTGATTTGGAACGAGTGCACTATGCCCACCCTAAATTAAACCGTCTCAGTAGTTTACCGTAATTAATAATCTATTTTCGGAATTTATACGAGAATTTTTGAATTTTAGTAAATACTAGAGTCAGTGCATCGCGTATTGAAATAATAGCTTCATCCCTAGTTCGTTTATTATTGAATATTTTTACGCGTTTAACTTATGCTTCTCCCCAATTCTCGTCGCGTATTTTATTCAAATTTTCTTATATTCTAGAATCGAAAAAGATACGAATTCGCGTTTTTTCTTTTGATTCTTTCAATTTTTCAATTGCATTACGCATTATTGCAATAATTTCTATCGTTACATTTAATTCTAATTGTTTAGCAGCTTTTCTGCTGCTATCGACCCTACATTTTACTGACACTTGTGGAATCGACCCTACATTTTTGTTTTTTTTTTTTTTACGTGGAGGTAGGCCGACTCTATGTGATAATCAATTGGCAACCAAACGGTGGCTCGCTAAAGCGATATATTATGAAATTAAATTAATCACTCAATAAGTATTAACATTAGATTGTTTCCTCGATATGGCCATGGTGGTCATCAGTGACTGGAGTGCCTCAAATGTTTAGAATAATTAAAATAAAATAAATGTTGTCAACTAAAAATTTTGAACGTCATAGCTAGCTAGACGTTATTTTCAATTGAAAAAAAAAAAAAAAATTATAAATCATAATACTATAATCCTATATTTAAAATGTATTTTCTTGTGGCCGCCTGACAGCAACCTGTAAATCTGGCGTGACAGTGAACGTGTTAATAAGTAAATGTTGTTCAAATTATATCGTGTTTGATATCATTTTCATCAGAAAAATCACACCAACATGTTAAAAAAAATTCCAGATGAAAAAAAGTAAAATTACAGAAATTATATTTTTCTATTATGATTTGTCGAGCCGTGAAATCTCGTAAAGGAAACCGACTGGTGTAGCGTTACACGCTTGACCGATTGCGAGCGAGATAACATGGGCGCAGCAATGACGCAGAACTAGGCGTAGGACCATCTATACTGTCACTTGTAGAATCCAAACTTACTGACTCTTGTAGAGAATTTACTGTATTCACAGTACGAATAAAAACAAAATTCAAGAACGTTCGAAGCTAAAGCTATAAAAGAAGAAAAATACAAAATTAACGGAAACTTAAAATACTTTCTAGAATTTGGTTCGGCAAATCTTAAAAAACTCAATTTCCAGTGAAAGTACAATGTCGACAGAAACTTAAAATATTTTCTAGGATTTGCTACGACAAATCTTGAAATACTCAATTTCCAAAGAAACCTGCAAAGAAAAGCTCACTTTCCAAACAAATCCGGAATGAAATTTCAATCGAGCAAAACTTGAATTCCGATAAAAAAAAAGAAAAATTCTCCTATTAAACGAGAATCTTCATAGAGTCCGTTAATTAACGAAAGCAGCAGAAGAACTCACAGAAAAATTACCTCTGCTTTAGACCGTAACCAGCAATCGCTCTCCTCCACCCTTTAACGTTGAACAAGTGTATGGTCGACATCGTTGCCCATTTAATTCCAGGGCTCTCGGCCGTACTGGAGATGGCTACACGTGGACGAGGGAGGCCTGTGCCAGCGCGAAAAGCTCCGGGCTTTTGGAGAGAAAGCAGGCAAGGGCGTGCAGAGCTACGCCTGACGTGATGGCCAGCTTGGTGCAAGCGGCTAGGGATACCTCGACGGTATGCCAGCAAGCATTTCGACATCGTAGGTGGAATTGCAGCAGCATCGAGCGTGCGCCAGATTATACGCCTGAATTACTTACCGGTATGTCCTATATCGAAACGCAACACCTTTTATTTAGCCCCTTGGAGAGAGACTGGCCGTGAAACTGGCCTCCGGGCTCATCTAAGATTCTATTTCCTCGGACGTTGATTTAAAAGGAGATATTGTGATTGTAAATGATGTTCAGATTTCTCCTGTTCCGATGTGTAGCACGGGAGAAGAGGAGAATTGAAAAAAGTTGATTGTTTTATCCTTTTTGTTTTTTTACTAGTGGGATTTTGCAGATTACGAAGAAGTTTGAAATTTGCTTAGGTATATATCTTGGAGTGATCTAGAAGAAAGATATGTAGCACGAGAGGAATTAAGTGTGAAGAGAATTGAAAGAAAGTTAATTGTTTTGCTAGAAATTATGAGATAAATTAATAACTTGTTTATTTTTCAATAGTTAAATAGTGGGATTTTGCACAGTATGAAAAAGTAAGCCCCTTTCTAATTACTACAGTTAATTGTTAAAAATTTGTTAGCATTTAAATTTTGCTATATGTCAACAAAGTACATATTGGGATTTATGCAAAAAACAATTTTTCTGAAATAGTGAAACATTTTTATTTCATTATTTCCTTATTCTTTGATTAATTTCGATAGAACCTACCTAATCACACGCTGAATCCAATTTAGAAACTACGATTACAATAATTCATACTCACAATGATAAACAATCATTCTCTCTCATCGTCTAATTAAAAATTAAATGAAGAAGCTACTGTGTTGGTAAAACTAGATCCAAATCCATAAACCACGTATCAACGCACAGTTTATCACAAAAATTGATTCAAAATGAAAATTATATGGTCCGTTGGATTGTCCATATATAGTACGTGACTAACGACAAGATTTACCATGATAAATTCTGTCGCGGACTGCTTTTGTTCGTGTTACCTATGTAAATTACGACTACAATTCGACATGGTTCGTAATGACACATCGAGTCCTCGTAATGTATGTGTTTCGTTAATGCACGAACTGGCTGGATCAGAGAAAGTGAGCAACTGACATTCGCGAACTGACGCGGACAAGTCCCTGACATTAAATTCTCCTCTTTTACCTACAAACCGTTTCCAACAACGTTGTCAGAAATCATTTCCTAGATATGTATTTGCAAACGAAAGTGAAGTCGAACAACGTCTACTTAGGATACATGAGAAAGTTTGTCGTGTATTTCTCCTACATTTCCTGTATAACTTCTGATTTTCTTACGGATATAATCCGGCTAATCCGCGAAAGAAATTTTAATGAAAAAATATTTTAACCGGATCTGTGATGTGATATAAGCTGGCTAGATTTAGGATACATTTATTGATATCTTAACATATTTCTGGAAAATTTTTATACAAAAATGTCAACTTTTCAAGATAAAATGAATTGAGAATTTGGAAGCACGAATACTACTGGTGAAGCTAGATTTCATGATTTTTTTTCAATAGAAGAAAGTAACGCACAAGCTTGTTATTTCCAGGATACATTTATCGATGTATTAACAAATTTCTCTAAAATTTTGGTGAAAAAAAGACGTCAACTTTTCAAGATATATATTAAATTCGGCCATACCCGGTGATAACACCAATCAAATTCTTCGTACTCCTTCAAAATCAAACTTATCGCTAAAATTACTCACTTTAGAAAATCGTTGACATCGATCACACGAAGAAACCGTACAGAGACGCGGCACGAGCCTCGTATCGAATATCTTTTTGAAGAATCGCATGGTAAATAGGAAGACCTCGAAGAAGCGGCTCAATTAGTGGTCATTACCAAACCTGTGCTTCCTTCCTCTCTGCCGGCTCTCTTTCCGTCGACGTCGGATTAATCGTTGGCATTTGACGATAATTATATTGTAAATAAAAGTGTTGGACGGGGTAAAGTGGAGAGGAGATCCTTCGTTAATGAGAAAACCGAGACGTTCGCCGGTGGGATTTTCGTAGTGGCGATGAAAAACACGCGGAGTTCTCTCGATACGTACCGGAGTAATGGAGAAGCCGCCCTTTCGCTGCCGCTATGCTAATCAGCTTTCCTTCAATTATTTCAAACCGGCTACAGAGCGGAAGAGGGACCCGTGAATGCGGGCCTTTAAAGGTACCGTGCTATTACCGATTTCATTCGGGACCAGTTCGAGAGACGCGGCTTCTTGCCTCGTTAATTGCTCGCCTCGGAGATTTCTTATTAGAAAATCGCGGCGCAGCTTTGACCTTCGACCCAATTCACAAAAAGACAGTTCAGTCGCGGCACTCGCTAAAGCTCCTTATAGAATCGGGAGGGAATTTCAATGGCGGCTTGTTGGGCGAGTTTACGAACATCGAGTCTGTACGTATTTTGAAAATCTTTGCTCTGGAATTACTTGGGCAATTAACAAATGTTAATCCAGAAACGTTACAGTAGATGGTAACATAGACGAATAAGTTGGTAAATTGACTAAGGCTTCTACTAAGGCGAAAATAATGTAAAAAAGATTTTTGAAACGAACGTCGAGGGGAGAATTTAAGTTAAGGTTAGAGTTGGGAGAGATTTTTTGGTTCGAGGGGGGTTTGTATTTATTGCGAATGGATGGTAAATTACTTCCAGACAATTTTATATCACATCATACTTGCAGAGATTTAAGGGCTTTTTACCTTTGAAAATGGTTGAAAGGTCGATTTTCTAATGTTATTGTATCTTGAGAATATTCTTAGAAGAAAAGTTAGTTTGCTAATTTTTCGTTCAATTCAAGTCTATATTTATTGAAAATTAATGGTAATTACTTCGAGACAATTTTATATCACATCGTACTTGCAGAGATTTACGATCCTCTCACTTTTAAAAATACTCAAAAACTCAATTTTCTGTTTTCCGCATTTTCCAGTAACATTACGTCTTAAGAATATTCAAAACTGAAAAATCAACTTTCTATGATAGCGCAAACCTTTCAATACGCGTTTACAGTTTCGACGCGCATATTGCGATCAAAGTGGTCACAGTAATGCAATCCTTTCAGCCTCTTCATACTTCGTACTTAGTTGAATAGAAAAATGAAGAAATTGAAAATCCAGTGAAAATGGAAATTCCACAGCTACAAAAATGTTGAATTCCCAGGAACCAGGGAACAAGCGTTTGTGTACGCGATGTCAGCTGCAGCTGCAGTTTGGAGGCTGGCAAGAGGATGTGCACTAGGCAGTCTCGCAGCCTGTTCCTGCGCCACACCACCACGAAGAGAACCACCGTCACCATCTGCCTTGATTTCACCTTCTTCCTTCACCGCGACGTCCGTTTCTTTCGGTACACTGTCCGCCAGGAACTCGTTCAAATGGGGAGGCTGCGGCGACGATGTTCGATCAGCGTCTCGGATGGCCAAGAGGTTTCTTCAGGGCTCCACGCCTCCTGGTACAGGCGCAACCGCCAAGTTCATGCACGCTGTTAACATGCACAACAACCGGGCTGGTCGAAGGGTAATTGAAATAATTGTATCGATATACGAGAGTCGATAAGTGGAGAGGTAAAGTGCTTTGGTTTGAAAAGCATCTAAATGAAAAGTAGGATACTTTCAAAGTCATTAGTCTGAAGTTAGAATTGAAAATTGCTGTTTGACAATTAGTTTAGTACATGCAAAAAAAAAAAGAAGTAAAATTAGGCTGGGAGGTTCTGCCACATTTGACGTAACTGCTGGACAATTGTCTTACTATAGACAAAAAAAAATTGAGAAATTGGGGAAAAAATGTGAGATTATAGAAGATTGATTTATGGACGATCGATCTTACATTTTCATTTTTTGCAATGTTTATATCAATTTGTCAGCATTGATAGGAATGTTTGATTTTCTTGACGACTCTTACTGATAAACGTTTCAAGTATTGCACATTTGATAAATTCTTTTATACTACAGAACAAATGTTAGCTAATAGTGTTTACCGATGTTAAACATTTTCAGTATGCTGCAATCTTATCGAGTCTCTAAAATTTAGTTCACAATTTCACAAGTGTAAATTTTAACAACTTCAAACATCAAATGGACCTTAATAGTATTGAATAATACTAAAATTGAGGAACACAGGAAATTAAACAGGTTAAATTAAAAATCAGAAGAAAAAGATATAACATTTCATCAAGTTATGCTACAACTTTCCCTAAATTTATTTAACATTGTATACGAAAAAGTTATTTTCTACAGGAATTTATATTCAATTTCAATTTTGCGATCATTATACCAAGCGTAGAAATGAATTCTTGCCGAATAGATTCACATAATTGATTCAAAGCCACCGAGTTTCTATCGCGATAGTATTCCCAAGCTTTCAGAAAAATGGCAGAAGCTCGTCAAAAATAGTGGAAATCATTTCGATGGTCGGTCTCTTTTCACTCTTTTCAAATAAAACATCAATTCTGCCGAAAAATCGGAAAGAATTCATTTCTACGCCTGATACTTGCTATCGTTACACTTGAAGGCAGTGGAACAATCGTTAACCCTGGAATGCAAATGTCACGGAGTGTCCGGATCGTGCAGTGTGCGCACCTGTTGGAGAGGACTCGGTTCTTCAGGACCAGCGGCGGCAGGAAGTCGTTTGCTTCGAAGATACACAAGCGCAGCGGAAGTTCGACCGAGATCAGGAGGAAGGCTGCCACCCTTGTATCATCACGACAACCTGTTGTACACCACCAAAAGCCCGGACTATTGTCTCGCGGACAAAAAGAGGGGAAGCCTTGGAACTGTTGGCAGGTAATTTTTTCTTTTAATTTTTAATTGATTAAGGCTTCACGTTGGAAGCTTGCAAAATGATAAATTCACTTCAAATGAACAGTTTTTAATGTAACATTATTTCTTTAACCGGTGAATATCAAGGGCATATTTATATTGTGTTGCTCTTTAAACTAACATTTTTTTAATTGCAGGATACTACGGAGTAATTTCGGAATTTTTGTTTTTTTTTATTAATCGAGTTATAAGGCTTCATATTAGAAGTTCGCGAATGATTAGTTAGTAGGAAAATAATAAAATTATTTGAACATATTAAAATAAGCCAAAATTACCAATTTTTAGTATAACATTGCCTTTAACCAGGGAATATCAAGAGTGGATTTATATCGAGTCACCCCTTATTCTGAAATTTTCCAAATTTTTTGTAACACTCAGCAAGTCGTTATTTCTTCTTTTCATTGATCCCAAGAAAAGAACTCCGTATAGAGAGCCATATGGCTTTACATTAGCTCTTACATACAATTCTTATATTATTGATTTACTGTGTATTTCTCTAGGTGCTTGAGGTTTCAAAAGAAGTCGTTGCAACAGCAGAGTAATATACAATTTTAGAAATTTCAGCGAGCTGCACGTTTTACACGAAGATAAAAAATATTCATGATATAACAATATAGTAAATATTTGGACTCGTCTTTTTATTTAGCAAAAATATTAAAGACCTCGTTCAAACGATACACTAAATATTCAAACTCCCTTTCTCATTTAACATAAATACAAACACTGCGATATCTCTGAAAACCGATGGCAAAATAATTTCGCGTTACATACACGAGACGTAAAATGAAAAGCACCGAAATGTTTACGCGAATTGACCAATAATCGATAACATCGCTACTACGAATAATCGTAACATTTTAAAAGCGAAAGCCACGTGATAGAAAACACTTATACCCACTTTACAAACTTATTAAATTCTTCACATTATAGACATATTTATTATCTCTCGGGCTATATTAAAAATGTTTAACTTACTGTTATCGTCGCGGTAACTGAAGTACAGGATAGAGAAAAATCTCGTTTCCTTGCAATGCTAAATCCTTTTCGCTGAAATACAAAGTAGGTTTCGATATGTCCGCTGATACTTTACCAATATCGGACTGAAAAATATTTGACAATTTACGATCGCGATACAGGATCCACATTTTCCTACAAATGGTTCGCTTTCCTTTCACGTAGAAAGGAATATACAAACTTCGCGTTAACACGTTTCACGCTCATTGCCAATTCGTAGAAAACACATTTACCTACCCAGATTTTTTTTCTTCTTTTTTTTTTATCACATTGCGAATAGATTACAGATATTTAGAAACTGTTTGCGAAATACGCTGGATTTCTTTACTAGGATCTCTCGTAAGTTGACGCAAAAGCTTGATCGTGATCCAGTTGATTGGTAATCCAGTTCGAATGATCTATCATCAACAGCAATTACTAAACAATCTTTGCTGTTCTAGAAATATTTCTTATTAAATCGTTTTCGTTCTGTCCTGTTTGATGTGGTAAATTTTTGTACAATTTATTGTGAAATTCATTTCTGCGCACACTTCAAACGAGAGTTAGTTCGTCTCCATTTTTCAATTTTAATTTGTAGAGGCAGTTCATCTCGTTTCTCAATTTTTTAATTTTTCGTTCATCTCAATTTTTTAATTTTATCTTTTCGTTCGTCTCACTTTTCAATTTTTCAATTTAAGCAACGTAATGTACTGCTTACGGACAAAATATCTTATCAATTGCAAAATTTATTGGCAGTAAATTAAGGCGTCGTTTAAATATTTTTAATGAAGGTAAAGTAAAAATCTGTAATTTTAAAAAGTTACAAATATAAAATATTATATATTAGCAACGAAATTGTGTAGTTGAATAAAGTTATTACAGACGTAAACATTAACTATTGCTATTGTTATCGTTATAAAAATTTTCGAGACAGATCTCCTTGCTGGAATTTATTGGTTCGTCGTTAAAGTGAATTTTTCTTCGTTGATTATCTCCTCACCCTAAGGTGTTCGGTGAAAAAGTTAAAGAGGAAATCGTTAATATTTCAGCAATGCTACGATAAAACTTTCACAAAAGTGTTTATGATTTCTCGTAAATTCGTAGGTCCATTGTCCTAGATGTCGTAAACAATCTTCAACAATGGCGCGTTAAAAGTTTAAAAAGTTAGCGAGCCTACTTGCAGAGCACATAAAAGTTGATAGGATTATTAAATCTGCACTGTGATGCAATACACTCAATGTCAGAGGCATAATGTGAATAACAAAATTTAGCAATATTGGCTGTCAAGAGGATTCTTACACTTTTAAGATTTTTAAGTATTTCAGATTCTTAGATTTTGAAAATATTTCAGTTTTTAAGATTCTTAAGTTTTTAAGATTCTTAAATTTTGAAGATATTTAAATTTTGTATTTAAATAATTACAATTCTTAGATTTTAAAGTCTTTTGAAAAAGTAATTTTCAAGATTCAATTTATGAAGTATTTAGCAAAGAAGCGGTATTACAAAATCTGTCTTCAAATTTAAATATAATCAGTAATTGAAATATTTCAAAATTCCATATGATAATCAATGACATAGAACTCACATAATCCATAACCTAAAGGTATAATCTTTGAATTGTTATATTTGTGCCTGCAAAATTAACCAATATCAAAAGTTTGTAAAATTATACCAATAAACTTTCCAACAATGCCTAAAAATTGAGTAACTTAATAACGTTGAAAACAATTTCTTAACGTGCACAAAAATAAAAAAAAGAATCAAAATATACGTAATTCGGATTATTTCATTAATATGGAAATAATTGTTCGAAAAAATTTGGCAATACACTGTACAAACTTTACCATTTCGCATAGAACGTATATTGAGATTTAACACCTTGGATTTTTCTTAAGTTGCATTTACTTATCTGTACAGGAAGTACTCAATATGGCTTTGCATCTCAATACAAGATTGTAAATGTCTTGTCACTCAGTTTCTTATCTCTTCAACAGAGTCAGGTATTATCTTGCTTAGATTCACTGAAGACTTCATTCAGTTCGTTAGTGGAATATGTTATCGTTGGTGTTCCATAGATAGCCCGATGGAATTAACTACCCTAATACAATTTATCAGAATAGCTACAACAGGAAACACGCTGTTATTAAAAAAATAAGTTGAAATAGAACACACGTTTCTATTAAAACCATCCCATAAATAGTGTACCACGTATCCTTCTCACTTCGAACAGGATTAAATAAACTAATTTACGTATTTAACAATAATATAGATTTTCTACGAAATTTTACAATAATTTCTAATTTAACTACTAATCTTTCCATCTCATCTTTCGACAAATCTTCTGCCATTTGTTTATCGACTTTTTGAAATGCTTACTCATATCGATTATCAGATAATGTGCTTTGTTTACAGATTAAATTTGTCTAAAGTAAATTAATATATCGTTTCATATCTTTGATATATACAGAAGAAAAATTGTTTTATAAATGCCATTTTTCCTATCTTTGACTGATTTTAGACACTAAAATTTCATTTTTCCCATTTCTTCCATGAGAACAATTTTTCTTCCATCTTATTCACCCTTTGAAACCATTTAAATTACGTGTAAAAACTTTCTCCTACCGTAATCGTAGTCCATCTTGTGTATATTTGAAAAGAAAAAATGTGAAAAAGCAGGAATAATTATTCGCGATATCTCGGATGTTTCGAATTTTATGAAATCTTATCGGTGAGCAAGTAAAGAAACCGATATGCAGGATAAGAGGACACGGTTAATGCTATTTTCAATGGCAGCTACTACAAATTACACCAGCCTGTAATTACATAAGAAATATACGCCAATGTATTTCTTATTTATCTCTCGATTCTATTAGTAATAATGCTTGTGTTCGTAAACTTAAGGGAAAAGTCGAATAGGTGTTTTAGTTAAGAGTTTCAGATAGACAAATGGCGTCTACGATGACACATAACCCTGGCAATCTTATTTTATCGTCGAATCTGGTAACACGCGTGTTCACAATCTGTTATGCAATACGGTGAAGTAATACGTTTAAAATACCTGCTATGGAATAAGTATCGTCTCGTATAACAGCAGTAAAGACAGTCGTAAAGAGTGTCGGTAACCTTCCAAATAGAAATCTACACGTCTAATCTCTAATAGGAATCGATTTAATAAGCTTGATTTTTTGTGTATGGTGTTCGTTTTGCGTTATATTAAAGTTTCGTTTCATTTTCACTTTCAATTTCATTTTCACCGACGAGTCACCGAAGACGAGAGAAAATCTGGGAAAGGTGAGGGATCTTTGTAAGATTTTTAAACGGAGCAAAATTTGGCTAAATTTAATTTAGTATTTTTTCTAGGACAATTATGAATGGCCAATATTTATGGTGTAATTGTAAGATTTTTAAACGGAGCAAAGTTTGGCTAAATTTAATTTAATATTTTTCCTAGGATAATTCTAAACGACAAATCTTTGCAGTATAATTACAAGATTTTTTTAAGATTATAAGAATTACAAAATTTTCAAGTGGAGCAAAATTTGGCAAAATTTAATTCAATATTTTTCAAATGACGTAATTATAAGATTTGTAAATGGAGCAAAATTTGACTAAACGTAATTTAACGAACGGATCCTAAGATAATTCCAAATGTCAATTTTTTATTTACATCCGAAATGCGATACAGAAAGGAAAGAAAGGTTCCGTGCTACTTTAAATACAAGGTGTTGCAGAACGAAAGACACAACCACGTAAGAAACAATTTATATTTTCCATTCTGAAAAAACATTCCAACTAAATTAATCTCAATCCATTATCAAATTCACGCAGAAAATCTTAGAAATTTCGTTAAAATACGACGACTCTGAAGCTTTATAAAACATCTCAGAAAGCGCATAACTTGTGCCCCGTAAAGTGAATATATTTCAATATGTCTAAAATTCTAGTTCTCCAAGTTCCAGTATAGAAGGAAAATCCGATCGTAAACTAAGCTATTTAATATACTCGACAGGTGTACATGCGAAGCAAGACAGATTTAACATTTTTCTCTCGGCCTATTTATCATAAATTACTCGTATTAACAGAAATTTTTCCCCTCACATTGTATGCAAACGTGGGCTTAATCCAACGTGAAAATAAAAGCAACCACGGATGAACGGTACTTTACATGCGCAATACGGTTGACAATTTACGATTGAAATCATCTGCAAATATACTATATACATTTCTCGTCTCTGTCGTGAAACTTCAAAAAAAAATATGCACCCATCGTCTTTGACTTTTCGCTTTCGAAAATAAGATCAGTTGACGAGGAGACGTGCGAAGGGGAAAACGCCTAGAGAAAAAGAAGAAAAATGTTGGTCGATGCATAATGTAGATATCACGATATGTAATAATTCAGTACGGTTTACGATCTTGCGATTCAAGTCGATCGCGTCATTTATTTCTGTCTTCGAGCTAGTCAACTAATCGTTATCGTCGCGCTAATAAAATACTTCCATCCTGTATACATCCGTGGCGATACCCCTCGGCTTGTTCCCTTTGTGAAACAGCCACACACAACGAATTCCTTGGCTCGATCTCAGTTATCTCCGGTATAGTCAGATACCGGCTTATTTATGCGACTGTGCCGGTAATTACCTATGAGAGAAGACCTTCGAGATAGGGCGGAACCTTATTTTTCCCGTGGCGATCGGGAAACCTGTTCTCTGAAACCGAATAAATCCTCTGTTTTACGATATTCTAACGATCCACGGGAGAGACCGTGGATCTCCGTGGCGCCTCCAAACGAATGTTTCTTCATCATGGAAGATCGACCACCACGAACTCTTGTAGCTGGTGTAGGTGTATTTGTTGTTACATACGGTGTAATCACAGGTTGGAGGAATTCGTAGTTCGTACAGCCATGTTGGATCTGTTAGTGATTCTTTGTAGATTTGGAAATTTATGTTAGGGAGACCGATAGCCAATTTACCTCGTATCCATTGATTCGATCGATTGATTACGAAGGGATTCGTTGAAAAATTCTTAAGGTTGCTAACTTTCTTGTGTAACTTGGGATGCACAGTGATCTGAAATTTTTGGCTGGTAGTGTGTATTGTTAGGCTGTAGAGAAAATAAGGATATGTTGGTACTAGGATGTGTAATTATGTTTGCACAGCGTGGTCCATGTAAGAGAGGCTGCGAAACAAGGTTCAAGCAACAAAGCGAGTGTTTATGTATTTTTCTTTTTTTTTTTTTGAATGGTATGGCAAGATTTGAATTAATATGTAGAAAACGTTTGTGGCATTTAAAGAAGGGAAAAATTGTTGCAGGGTTTGTTGAAGCTTCGTTGAAGCAGGATTCACCTTTGGAAACCATTTAAATTAGGTAGAAAAATTTTCTGATACATCCATAGGTAAAGAGGATAATTAAATGGCCTGTTTCACGTGGTCCACCCTGTATAGCGACAGTTCTGTAATTAATTATTGACATTCGTTGATAATTTGATAAGAAATTACGCTTGGATACGGAACGAAGTATGTTTATATGGGGGGAAAAAGGAATTGTTTCAATCCTTAACGAGGAGAATCGCAAGGGTTTCACTCGCGTGACAATCGTTGTTAACACAAGGAGGAGGAAAATAAAGGAAGAAAGATGTTTCTTTCATCGGTGATTGCATTCGCTACGGATTTTCCGGCGGCAAAACGAAAGGAGGAGCCTCTTCGCCGCCCTGAATTATTCACGCGACGGTGTTCGTGAATTAAGATCACCCACGGCATTCCGGGAACGGTGACTGGTTCTGGAAGGCTCAGGAAGAGCACGGTGAACCCTTCTTTCTCCGATGCTTTGTTTCGTTTAGTCCGCCCTTATAAATCACGCCTCATCTCTCAGCATCCGTGTTGTTAGGCAAAAATTAACGCGAAACATCGATAGACTTTCATTTTTATCTTTATTTTTTCTGTTAAATGTAATTTGAAGTCGCATCGACGTCTTGGGTATTAGCGACCTCCTGTTTTACCTTTTTCTTTTCATTTCTAGAATGTAGAATTGTTCGAATTGTTCGAAATTTGGAATGGAAAGTTCACCAAATTATTCGAATTACCGAAAATTTGGAAAGTAGAATTGTCCAAATTACTAAAAATTTTGAAAGTAAAATTAACGAGAATAGTAAAAATTTGCAAAGTAGAATTGTCCAAATTAGGAAGGTAAAAATATCCAAATAATTCAAGATTTGGAACGTAAACTCGCCCGAGTTATTAAAAATTTGAAAAGTAAAATCACCAAAATTATTAAAAACAATTAAGAAAATTTAAATTTGAGCAGAGTATAACGATACAACACTTTTGTACCACAAATTAAAAACTGAAATCACACAAAGTACCATTAACAAAAAAAAGAAAAAAAGAAACATTTAACCTCGTTCTATTCGTCACACAGCTTTTCACCACACAAACACACACCTATTATTCATTCCCCAAAGAAAATTCGAATACACACAATTCCATCGCTCCCAATTTTCTCTCCCGGAGCATTTTCCCCGCAAAAATTACTCCAACCTTCTTCCTTTTTTTATTCCCACATTCGACTAGGAAAAGTTTAATGGATGAAAACGAACTGCCGGGCAATTCGTAAGCTAATCGGATGCTAGTTTCGGACACGTTAATATTTCATTCCCCTCGGCTAATATACGGCACCAGGTTTCTTTGGGCACCGCTGATCGGCCTGCCGGTTACAGCTTACAACCGGTAATTATAACCCTCCGTATAATTATACAAAGTGGGCGTGGTGAATGTTTATTACGGGACGCCTTCCTCCATTTCACCGTATACTTTTCGAAATCCTTTTTTCTTAACACTACGCCGCTATAAAACCCAGCTTCGGTGACTTTTCTTCCTTTTCTTCTTTATCTCTTTTACAAACAAGCTCGTCCTTGTGTAATCGTCCTTGTGATTCGGAGTTAATGAAACAATTACCATTGAGATGTTAACGATCTTTTTGTTTTTTCTGTAATTGTAAACTTCTTCACAGATTTATCGAGGTATGTTTTATAACACCATTCTGTTTCCTGTTAAAATCGTTGGAAGATTTGCTCGCGTTTGATTTAGCTGTTTTTCTTTTCTGAACATTTAATTAACGTAGGTTTGGATGATTTTTATTGGGCTGCTAAGATGGTCGTTTCTTATCTGATATTGGCTTGATTTGACTTAATTGACTTGTCGTGGACGGTGCGATAAAGGTAATCGGTGGGTTTAACGAAGTGTATAGAGTTTTAATAACACTTACACTTTATTGAACGGGAAGGACGTTGTTATAACTATACTTCTTCCTTTTTCTTTTATTTTTGCGTGGATCTACCGGATCATATACTTCTTGCGTTATCGTCGAATAAGAGTAATTGCATCGGTGTACTTTTTTTCTCAATATTAACGAAATAAAGATTTTATGTAAATAATAAGTTATATGTAACGTTAAGGTTGAATGAAAGAGTCATTATATCGGTGTCTCTTTTTTAATATTAACGAAATAAAGAGTTTATACAAATAATATGTAAACTCTGAAATGAAAATGAAGAAAGTGTTGCTTCTTTAAAAACATTATTCCCAAATAGTTACTGAGCAAAAAAAAAAAAAAAGAAAGGAAAAGAGATTTCACCCCACGTCTCTTGAATTTTTAAAATTTTTTAACAGAGCCTACAAATAAATTAAAACGTTCAATTTTATTTTTTCTTAATTATCTCCCAGGCGTACAGTAACTCCCTGTAACTTCAATTTCCGCTGTAAAACAGGAGGGACAGCGCAATGTGAAAAGCGAAAGAAAATAATTTCAAAAGATTGTACTTTTTCGAGGATTAATTGCACACGCGTTAGACGCACTAACATAAGCGTTTTAAAGGGTTGAAACTGTGGGTAAATAACACGTGGTCGAAGATTTTTACAATTGTACAACGAAGATAACGATACATTATCACTTATTCTCACTCTCTTATTGTTTTCATCAACCACGCTGCTCTACTGTTTACTCTCCCATTCCCGCTTCGCCAATCTCAAGCCGTTTCGAGCATCAGCGATAGATCATACCGACTCCCAGAATGTCCACGTATATCCAAAACAAACACACGACATTCACGCCGTCATACGCAACACATTAGTAAAACCAAACCCACAGAAACACTATAACACGATACCAGTATCGTCTAATTTTCCTCAGGCAATGCAACGGCAGCAGTACCGGGTACGAGGGCTGCGAGTATCTCTGCTGCGGTCGCGGCCACGTGACGAAAACTGAAGAGATATTGGAAAGATGCGACTGCAAGTACATCAGCTGCTGTTACGTGAAGTGCAAGACGTGCAGGAAAATCGTGAAGACCTACGAGTGCAAATGAATGCACGGAAACGTGGAGAGAGAGAGAGAGAGAGAGAGGGAGAGAAATTGTACATCGAAATTTTCACTCCGACCGGAGGTTTTTCAAGTGAGACGAAGAAGAGAAAGAAAATTCGTAAACGATACACAATTGTCCATATAAGTTTGAGAATAATCAATCTTTATTTACACGCTGATAGATTTGAATTATCGTGAGGATTTCGAGACGATTCGGGAAATGTAGATGTTTCTGAATAGAGATCGTTCGATCAATTGAGCAAATTATCGAAGACGAAAGCGTTGCATTAGTAATGGAAGAAAAATTAATGATAATGAGAAAAAGAAAGAGCTCGATAAAACCCTTATTTATCTCGTCTAATATTTATTAACAAATTTGTGTCTTTGATACGTTGCGTGTATAACGAACGGTGTTGTCGCTGAACATTCTTTTCGGAAATGTCCAAGTAATTTCGATTTTAATTAACACTTGACGATAGAGAGATTAGTGTTGATTCGTGGGTATAGGAAAGAAAACTCGGACAACACTGTTAGCAGCATGTTAGATATAGGCGTGTGGTTAGTGCAATGTAAATAACTCGCTGATACTCGACGTAGTTTGTATTAAAAATTATATTCTACAATAAATATTACTTGACATAGAAAAGATTTGCAGGCGGGTTTTATTCACCTTAAAGTGATTGTCACAGGTTGTATATTTTGTGACGTGTACATTGCATGCTTTTGGCGAGTACAATATTGTGTCATAAAAATTATCGTAGTTATGGTCGAAAGGTACGTTAATATAATAGAAGCATTAATCGTGCATTTTTTTTTTTTGTCGTTCGTGATTTAAATTTTCTATAAATAGCAAATTAATGAGAAAGGATACTTAATCTATTTTTGCAATTTGCATATTCGGAGAACTTGAACTTTCATCCAAATTTATTTCTGGATCTTCGATATTTAAATCTTTTATAAAAGAACACCAGTGTATACCAGCTCCACAATCTGGTTCTTTTTCTGATGCCCACCAAAGTGCAGTCTGAAATATACGAAAAAATTGAAATAATAATTTGTAGAAAATTAAACGATTCTTTTAAAAATCAGATCAACGTAAATCGATTTATTACAGTTGAAAGAAATTTAATATTGAATACCTGGATTGTGTGAAAGTGTAAGCAACGAAATAGTGTGTTAATGAAATGAAATAATATTTTTTAAATTTAGAAATGTAATTATCATGTTGAAAATAATAGTGAAAAAATATGTATACATAAAATCATAGTAATGAGAATGTGTAGAGGTATATACCTTGATGTTAATTGGTAGCGAGGGTGGAAGAGGATCAATTTTCACGTTCATAAATCTCAGCAGATCATTATAATCCAATTTCCCTTCCTCGTTTTTATGGAGGCTATATTTGAGTAGAATCGATTACGTTAATTTTATGGCAAAAATGATGGGAAATAGAAATGTAACTGTAACTCAGAAATAAGATCAAACAGGAAAAATTAATTCTTTCCCCTTTTATTAGGTTTTAATACTTTAGAAATCTTCCAGAATTGTTTTGACAGTATTAGAACTCTTCCAGAATTTTTTTGACAGTATTAGAAATTTTCCAGAATTTTTTTAACAATATTAGAAATCTTTCAAAATCTTTTTAACACTCTTTTGGCAATTGTATTTAACACAACTTAAATCTAATTTTTAATATACTTCAGAATTTTTTAACTGAATTTTCAATTGAATTACGTTATATCCGTGGAATTTGCTATATGCAATTATAACAGAATGCAAAAGCGACATATTTGAGGCGAACATTTCACCTGTTACAAGTTCGTAATGCTAAATTATCATTAGTACACATACTGATCCATCATAGAATTCAAAAGTTCAATGTCAACTGGTATTCTTCCTCCGCGAAGTACAGTGTACAACGTGTCACGTGGTAAAAATCCTGTTCTTCCCCTATCACAGCTATGTAGATCCTCTTCCAAACGATCGAGATCGTTCCATAGAAATCGCAAAAGTTCCGTATGCATTAGCTGTCTGTAATAAAAATAACGAAATAACGAAATAACGAAAAAATGAAAGTAACGAAATAAAACAAATATACGCAAAAATAGTTTACCTTACGTACTCCCGGCTGAGAAATTCTTTCTTCTCGTGAGAGGAATAGTGTCGAGCGATCGTGATTATTTCTTGATCTGTCAATTTACCTTCGGAATACTTGCACAAGGCTTCCCTGAATTTTTTTAATTAACGTCGAGATTCGTGTTTGCGTATGAGAAAATTAATACAACGTGTAATATTTGTGGGAGTAATTAAATTAAGTAATTACGAAGCAGTCGTGATTTCAATTTGGAGCAATAAATTTGGAACAATTAAACGCATAGAATCAGGTATATTTCGATCGTTTATTTTAGGATTTATTCGCATTTTTTGCAAGAATATAAATTTGGAGAAAACATCGTTTCAAATTTATTTATTTTATTAAAATTACGTATTTTTCGTGCATTTTAAAAGAACGAATTAGATAAACTGACTTTTGTCACATTTTTCTAATTATCCTCGAAATGAACTATTCGCAAGATAAAAATTTCGACATTCGCTATAAGAATAACGAATAATTTTCTGTTGTTCACAAAATTCTATACTTTTTCTATTACGAAAAAATTACCAATGAATCTTGACATGCATATATCAAAGGGGTTTTTGATATTATCCTCAATTTCACAGGAAACAGCTTGTAATGTAATGGAATAAAATAGAAAGAAGAAAAAAAGGAAGATACCTGAGTTTTTCATACTGCAATATTTGAAGATCCTCGTCGATTGATTTCGCTGGCGTGTAAAGTTGCATAAATTCCTTGTAAACCGGTTTCAATATTTGCCGTAATTTTGCCACGATTAACTCGGCGTTAGCTTTGGGGAACTGAAAAATTGCAATAAAAAATGAAACGTTCATATATCACCGGCTTATCATGTCGAATTTGTAAGGGAACACTAATCGCGCGTTTGAAAACCCGAATGTGAAGGAACAGTAAAACAGTAAAACGCGTATAAATTATTGGACCTTATCGCAATGTAACTCCATGTAACGAAGAGCATAAATGTCCGCCGAGGTAATTTCGAAGATAAAATTGTTCAAGTTAAGACGTGCTCCAATATAGAAATCCTCTGGCTTGTAATAATCCGGTTTCTTGCTTACAAATATCTCTTGATTAGGCAACATCACCGGCATTCTCTTCTGGAAGGCGCATCGTTTGAAACCTGTAAGTACGTACGATAAAAAGAAAGAAAGGAGGAAAAAAAGGAAACGTGTACAATCGATAAACGAGGCATTGTCGAAGGTTTAACAGAAAATTTACCGTAATTTGCGGAATTGTGATAGTTACGGGAATAGAAATTTATGATAATCTTTCGGGAGTAATTAATCATCGGTCGAGCATGGTGTGAGTAATATGAAAAAGTGGACTGTTTGAGATTTATTAGAGATTTCAGATTTAGAGATTTAGAGATTTGAGATTTAGAGATTTAGAGATTTAGAGATTTAGAGATTTAGAGATTTAGAGATTTAGAGATTTAGAGATTTAGAGATTTAGAGATTTAGAGATTTAGAGATTTAGAGATTTAGAGATTTAGAGATTTCAGATTTAGAGATTTCAGATTTAGAGATTTCAGATTTAGAGATTTAGAGATTTGAGATTTAGAGATTTCAGATTTAGAGATTTCAGATTTAGAGATTTCAGATTTAGAGATTTCAGATTTAGAGATTTAAGGATTTGAGATTTAAGGATTTGAGATTTTGGGATTTGAGATTTCAGATTTAGAGATTTCAGATTTAGAGATCTGAGATTTAGAGATTTCAGATTTAGAGATTTGAGATTTAGAGATCTGAGATTTAGAGATTTAGAGATTTCAGATTTAGAGATTTAAATTTAATTGTTACAAAAAATGCCTCGATACAAGTTAAACAATTCACAGAATATAAAAAATATTTATTAATTTTCATATATATTAAAACACTTTTAACAAAAAAAAAGAATTAACATTAAAAACTTCAGTAAGACTATCTTCTAAAGAAAGTATTTACCTGAATTAGATTTTGCCAGTCCAAAAATAGAAATTGTATCGTCCATAAGGAAAACTCTTATAATAAACTGTCTATCATGACACTCTGGTATATTTGATATCATTCTCGCTCTAAATCTCAAAACGTAGCTATCAAAACCTTGCCTAAAAGTACAGAAAAAAACAAATAGCCTGAATAAATATAGTCAAAATATGGCCTAAATAAAATATACAATTTTCTTGAAATTCTTTTTGAAAATTGTAATCGTACCTTAGATAGATACATACTTATCATAACGTAGAAACTTAGCAATATCCATTTTAGGTGGTTTTGGTATCATTCTTAAGCAATTTGAGAGGGAATCTTCGTATGTGCCGAAACCATTGTACGGTGGTATATATTTCTTCACTTCCAAGCAAATCTCGGTGCCCTTTCGAGGCCTTTCTATAGGCGTGAAGTCATCCAAACCGTATTTTTTTCTTTGAGACGATAAAAGAAGAATAATAAATACATATTTAATCAATGAAAATATCTAATACTTTCTTTTTGTAAAATATTCCACTTGGTTCATTATCGAATACAATTTTTCTAAATAAAATATACGATCTTTCTAAAAAAGAAAACAAAATTGATCGTATTTTCACCTATAGTATTCCTTTGTAAAGTCGTCCATATCAGTTACAACAACTATTCTGCCAAAAATATTTAATTGAGCACCGATACTGAGCTCGTTTTCCTTATAAAATTCCTTAGAAATTTTTCCAGCGTTCAATGGATCTATCGTATAGTAACCCTGAGATGTGTCCTCTCCCATGACATTTAAAACGGTAAAAGGATCTCCCGTCCCAACTGGGTCGATTTCGGTGAAGAACTGCATTCCAATGTTTAATTATTAATTTTATCAATTAATCGAAGAATAAATCCAAGTATTTCAGAAAGTTGATTTTATTTTTGCAAATCTGCTTAGTACTCGCGTATATGCAAAGTGTTTTGTAATTCTTTCTTAAGAAAATAAAAGAAGAGAAATTATTAACAACTTTTTATTAAATTTTGAAAAATTTTTAATTTGAACGCTATTAAAATGAGAGTTAAATTAATATATTTCTAAGCTTATCATTCTATTTAACTGAACCACTGTATATAATCAGAAACTCCAATGTACTCTGTAGTTTAATTTACGACTGTAGCGCACTATAATTTGAACGATGAAAATGAAAATTTTGCGAAGTTAGAAGAATTTACTTATTCGTCAATTTAAGTTATATTGACAATTATTATCGACAGTAGTCATTTTTATTTTTATCCAAAGTTATATAAAAAATTATTAAGAAAGGACAGTTACTGTCATTTTAAAACCACGTTTGCAAAATATGCAAATACGTTATACAAGAGTTAATTGTAGGAATGCTTACTTTAGGAACTTTCATTCGGCGTAGAAACATGAAACCGGAATCTCGTCCAGAATTAGGCGGCACATTCTCCTTGATATCGATCGTGTTATCAGAAAGATAATAATGAATCACGAGATCGTGAATGAAACCGTAAAGACTGTCCGTGTCGTCCCAGTAGCCGTAAAATCGTAGGACTTGTTTGTCGTATTTCAAGAAATCGCCACGAGTATCGACCTTCCGTTTAGGTTTCTTTGGGAACGTCGCCTGTTTTGCCAATTAATTGTTTCATTATAGAAAACAAAATTATTATATAAAAAATTGTCGTTCGAGTCCAAACTTTCTTTGAAAAAAATAGGAAGGAACGAAAATTGGAACCGAACTTTAATTATCGAGATTAAATACTACAAATCTATGAAGCTTGTACTATTTTTTAAATAAAAAATAGAACAATACGAGAATAGTAATATTATATTATGCGACATAGAAAATTTACTTCGCTGCAAATATATTTTCTTTATAAATCGTTCGATCTTCCTACCTTAAAGAAAAATTCAAAAATAATAAATAATAAATATCTCGAGTAATATAAACGTGTAACGAAGAAATTTTTCGAATATATTAGGTGTACAAATTAATTCGGTACGTTTTTTCACAAATTTCAACGTTCGTATCAATGTCGATAACAACGTTTATATCGACAATCAAACTCTAATATTTTCGACGACCTTTCTCCATTTATCAGGTAACCGACGAATTTCCTCTCCGGAAAAATACGGAGGCTTTCGATCGGTAATGTCGGTCGGAACTTGGTGAAAAAAGGCACCGAATTAATTTGTACACCTGATATATTTCAAAATCAAACATTTTCTCAAATGTATTTCATTATTTATTTGGAATTTAGTGCGCTTACGTGATCACGAAGATCCGAATATGGATCTTTGGGTACTTCTATGGGATCCGGGACCATAATTCCCATGCGATTTAAAAATAACCTCGTAAATTTGTCGCAATCTACTATTTTGTATACTCTCCCGTAAATTTCCGGTTCTTTGCCGATATTCAAATCAATTATATCGTAAAATCTGTACCTGACCGGATCAGGCATCGGAATTCTTTGTCGTCTCACTAAAAGACCTGCATAAATATCGTCCATTAACTTCAAGACTTGCAGATAAGACAAAGTTTATAATTAAAAATTGAGGTTGGAGAAAAAAAAATTTTTCAGGAAATGTAATAATAAATACTGGAAGAAATAATGCACCGGTAAACCTTGCTCAAGACCACTGTTCTCCACAGAAGGTTCAGAAACTTTCATTGTTCCGTCTTCTAAGAAGAAGCTGATATATACTACACGAACTTGGTATGATGTTTTCCATCTTTCGTGGACAGTTTCTTGAAAGAATGCCTTGAACATCAATCTCTGACAAAAAGAGTATGATAGAAAAATGATGGTTGGAATTTTTGATATTTCAATTATATTACAGTATAGAATAAAAATGTATTTGCAAAATTTTATTAATTTGTTCGAATGAATTAATATACTTGGCCGTCGTAAACAATCCATGGTGGTAACTCTTGAGCTTCTCCGCGAACATAAATCGACGGGTAACGAACGGGATCGCCTTTATCAGACTTTTCTGACAGATAATAAACTCCATCGTGTATTTTAGCGAAATATTGATTTCTAGGAAAATTTGTCCGACCCAACTAAATAAAAATATGTTTTATGTTTATTCATAATAAGAGTATAATTTTTTGGAAATTTTACACTGTAGGTGGTGTATGTAAAATGTGTTAAAATTTAAAGAAAATGACTTACGTTTTTATTTAAACTGAACCCTGGTAGACACGGTAGCGAAAGATCACGTTGCATTTTGCAATACGAAGAAAAATCGTCTTATAATAAAATAATCGACGAATCTAAGATTGATACGAGAACACGAGTTACATCTATTTACTATTGTTGTGTTTCCTTGGAGATGATACGATAGATTTGGTGAGAAGGTACTAAAGAACTCGATAATTGCAGTTTGCAATGTATATATGTATACTTTATTATCATCAACAGTTTGCAATATTATACTGGTAACATTTTATGCCAGTATACGCAAAAACATAAATTTATACAATATATAGCAATATACAATATAGCAAAAACTCTGGTATAAATATAACACGTATATATTATATTAATTTGATTCCGTTAATTTATGCTAACGTTAGATAAACTTTGAACGATACTGCTTTGTCATTAGCTTTGTTACTTAATAGTATAATGTGCACATTACGACACTACTTATTTGGTAACTTGTTATTTAAAATGTATAAATGCATCATGTATACAAATAGTAAGTAAAGCAATAAATCGAGTAGAAAGATTAAGCGTAAGTAAAGCAAAAACTATTCAGTGCTTGTAGTTTTTTAAACGTATTCAAAAGCATTATTAGGAAACTTTTAAGTTGAATATTAAATCGCTTATTTCATAAATATGCGAATGTCTTATTACGCATACTAATAATTACTGTATATATGACGTAGATACTAGCAATAATAGATTGTTTTAGTAGCACTTACTACCGACAAAAATACGTTACAAAGTGTAAATGATATATAAAACAAAGGTAAGATAGTACGCAAAGTAAATATAAAAGTAAACAGGCTTCTCGACAGTGGACGGTCCAAGTATAAATAGATAATATACGTTTTCATTGTCACTTTCTCAGAACTTTCATGTTGTTTGTGGTACTGAACATTTCGAAATTTTTATGATGTATAAATTTTGGTCTGACCACGTTATCTGATATTATCAATGTTTAGAAAGATCGCATCGTGGAAATTGAACAGATTGCCTTCGAAAACACATAAACAGTTGTTCAAATCTCCACTTGCTTTTCTTGAACTTCTAGTCCTTAGTCTCTGGTTGTAAATCATACCAGCTTGTGGATGATTTTGTAACATCGATATCACTCAAATTTATATGAACTTGACCCATTACGTTACTTCCAGTTACCAACCAACCCTTTTGCGTACACACGGACACTTCCAATGTACGACTATTTAAATCACCTTGAGAAACAACGTATTCAAATTGCTCGTTGAATACTGGATTACAATTATCCTTCATTACTGCTGTTTTGCGTTTAGTTTCCTTATGACGATCAGGAAGTAGATACAGTTTCACGTATGGATCTGGTATATTATGCGGATCATTTTGTGGCAAAGGCAGATTACTGCAACAGCAATAGAAAAGTTATTAACAGTCTAGCAAAATTTCGAAATGCCACATTAACAAACTACTTACGCTAGTTTGTGCACAACAATAATGAGCTTCTGCCTTTGTACGCTATAACGTAAAGACAATTGCATCCGACCTAATTTAGCTTCTCCTGTGGATGATGTTACATTTATATTTCTATGAGTTAACTGTGGACTTCCAGTAACGGAAGATGGTGCAGTAGTAGTGACGATTAAATCTTCTTCTGGTGGAACTGGTTCTTCAGATATGATCGCTGCACCCGAACCAGTACTATGTGTTAAACTATTAACTGAATCTTTTGAAGGTTGTCTTTGCAGTGGACTAGGAGGAACTGAAAAAATTATTTTATACCTTATTGAATTCTATATAATTAAATAACAGACTTACGACTAGTTAATAATGTATTGCTAATATTTGATTCTTGGCGCTCAATTCTCTTATTCAGTTGATTGATATCATGGTCATCGTCGTCTTCTTCTGAAGTAGGCTCAGGTTCTTCATATTTTAGAATCTGTATTTGAAAATACATACGTAAATATATTTATGTTTGTATATATTTGTATATATTTCTTATATGTATATACATATATAACATATTTAAAGGAACCATACATTTAATGACATAGACAGTATCAATTTGCTGTCAACATCAGCCATTTGCAAATCATAGGGCTGCTGTTTAATTTCAAGATTATTCTGCATTAAAAGTGAAGATATATTATAATTCATTTCTCCCACTATAAAACTAGTCTTTTCATCTGTGATCTAAAAATTAATATAAGCGAAATATGAACCTTTTGCAATGAAAGAAATATAAGATTTTTAAAAAAGGAAATGCAACCTTTATATGTAAAATACTGCTTTCTGGATTGCTAACCAAAAAGGTAAAGCCTTGTTCCCATATGGGATCGCAGGAACGTAACATAGTGGCTGTTCTTTTCATGTTCCCACCAACACTTGCTTCAAGATAAACATCGGGTTGTTTATTTCCCCGAACACACTGAAATTTAATAATTTTAATTCACTTTTTAAAATTCAAAACTATTACTTGGAATTAATCAACCTATACTTACTGGTAAATTCTTTGCTGAATCAATGTAAAGAATAAGAAGAGCTGTACTCATTGATGTTACTCTAAGTTCTTGGGTTTCAATTAAAGCCTGCAGATATCCAGAAGATTATATAAGAAATTTTAAACAAACATTTATATGTACACATATTAAGAATACATACAGCTTTCAAATCAGAAGCATTTTTTGAAAATTGTAACCATGTCATTCGTAGATGAACCATACCATGTTTTGCTTGTTCCAAGGAGACCCACTATAAAATAACATATTTATTATTATTATAAATTCAAAAATGTTTTTAATGTTATTTAGTAGCCCTATATTGACATAACAAAAGAAAATAACATATTTATTATTTTATATAATCTATTTGAAGTATAAAAAATCTACTATTCAAATATATTGTTTGTGATAATGATAATTATACAAAATATGACTGATGATCAATACATTGAAGTCTATGATATAACTTAGTTCATGCATATTCTGAAGCACGCATGCAATAATAGCAGCACATTATTTGACATTCATTTTAAAAGTAAGCAATAAATTTCTTTATGTTATATACATTCATAGTCATATAAGCAGCACCGTAAAATACCTTTATTTCATAAATAAATTTGTCTTCTAAACTGTACAATTAACAATAAGATGAGAAGAGTAATGTGGTGACATGGATTATCATTTTACTATAATTGTAAAGGGCACATACATCTCATAGTATTCTCATACTATAAATTTACTATGTTTTTGTAAACAACTTTTTTTAATAACATGCACCATAATAACAATAAAATTTCATATTGTTTAAATATCACAAATTTTCAAGCATATAATTTATAGTATCTAATAAGAGGAATATTCTTCTGAACTAATTATATAAGAACTGTCAAATGCATTCTATGCCTGAAAAACTATACTTGCTACAAGTAGCAATACCTGCCAAGTGGATCATCTTGACCAGCGTTGTCTTTGTCAAAAAGGTGGGCAACCACTGTGTTGTAAGAGGCTCCCAAGCTCTTTTCCACTACAAACTGTCATCACAACAATCTAGTTTAGTTATTTCTTTTATTAAATGTAGTCACCTAATCACTCTCACAAAATCAAGAAATAAAATTAAGAGCAAATTTACAACATTACAAAGTTATTATTACAAATACATTATAAGATAGATTAAAATCTATGTATGTAATATTAAGTTTATTATTGAAGAGAAAACTAAGCAAAAAAATAAGGTACATGTTATGAGTACTAAAATATAAATACAAAATGAATAATAATTGCATAAGTTTTAATAATTATAATAAAGTAAACACAAAGAATACTTTAATTAATGTAAATCATAAAAATAATTTTACTACTCAAATTCTGTATACATATATGTTAATAAAGCAGATGCATATGCATGGTACATACATATTGTAAGTATATAATAATACAATATGTTTACCAATTATTAAGAATCATATTAACATAGCAGGAAAGATTTATAAATATCAAGGTCATATGCAATATTAGTTAATTGAAGTTCATAACTCTTGTTAGATACATAAGTATTATACCATAAATACATCTACTACCTGCCAAGGAAGTCATCATATTGAACACAAGGGATGCTAACATCCCTATCCCAAAGATACACCATAACTGTCTGCATTATGCATGAGCAGACCACAGCCTGTGTGCCAATATCATGATGTGTATCAAATATAATAGGCAAAAATCTTATTTTATAAATCTTTCATTTAAAAATTACAAATTTACTATTACTTTAAATAAGTTATAATATTATATGTACACATGTGCCACAGAGAATTAGCAGTAGAAAATTTATTACAAATTTTTTATTGCATATTATGAAGCACTAAGTGATTGCTAATACAGTGAAGTGACACACTCAAACACCACTCATAAACCACATGTTATAAATGCTATTAAACAATGCAACACTAACATGCTTCTATTGCACACAAACAATAGTGATATTTTTAATATGGAAAATAAACTAAAATATATTATGAAAATATGTAAATGATGATTAAATGATAATTGTGTGATAAATCAAATTGCAATTATCTGCAGCTACATTTAAATAAAAATAATATTGTAATAAATAAAATTGAAATAGTTATTGGATTCTAATAATGTATTTTACCTTTAGTAGAAAATTAAAAAAATAAGTGTATGTTACTCTGTTTTCATACCTTCCAAGGCTTTCATCCCCCTTGGTATCATCATAGTCCCATAGCAGTACAGTAATTTGTTGAGCGATGGCTGACGTCACGGCACACTAGTTCCACATAACACATCGCACATCACATACACACATACATACCAAAATATGAAAGTAAATTAGATTGAACTTAGCTAAAATGTTTCCGATCTTTATGCATGGGCAGTGATTATTTTATATTATTATAAACAAAATAATAACATTTATAAATGTAGAAATGATTATAGTTCACTGATTTACTAGAAAAAAGCACTCAATTACAGAATAATGTTAGATCAGCAACATCTTATAACTAGAATAGAACAGTAAATGTATTAAAAAAAATTATGATAATAAAGTAATAAATTATAATCACAATATAATGAACATAAATAAAATAAAATATAAGAAAATAAAATTTATCTTTCGCGATATCCTATACATTGTTATGTTCTCTTCAATAACAAATGTGTACTAAATCATGTGCTTTTATATATTTAAGGAACAATATTTCTTACCACATAAAAGATGTTGTGCTTGAAATTTCAAAGAACTTACAAGAAAAAATTGTAGCAAAGCACATGCATTAAGTATTATTAATATCTGATTTCCTATAAAAGGATATGCATACCTCACACCAGAAATCCCATTTTGGATTCACAGTATTATCTATAGTTTTTGTTCTAAACTCTTGTGCTCCAACATTTATAATGGCATATGGATCAGATTTACCCTTACCCAATACTCCAATATCTTTCTTCATAAGGTGTTTTGCTTCTACTACATGAATTCTTAAAACACCCTAAAAAGAAAACATAATTATGCAATGCTGAATTATTCATCATTTCATTAATTATACATAAATTATCATAAACAAAAATTTTACTTCAGGCTCTGGTATTTTTAATGATTCAACTGGTACTGCATCACTTAAAGGTATAACAATTTTATTTGGTAATACTACAAAGGCTGCTATTTGTTCTACTATTGTTTTCCTCAAAATATCACTGTAAAAGAAATATTTAATTAATTATTCTTATCAAGAAATAAAATATAAATTTATTTGTCATTTGGATTTTCTTACTTAAATCCAGGTAAATCAAGGACATCTGCAACTCCTACTAAATTAAAATTAATAGCTGGAAGGTTTAAAAAAAATGCTTGTACACCTCCAACTATAGGCATTGTAGATAACAGTGGTTTCATAACTATTCTCATCATTCCACGAATCTTAAAGTAAGTAAAAAAATTTTTAAATAAATTGTAAATAAATACATTTGTCAAAATATTAACATAAGTTATATGTAAGATTATCTACCTGGAAGTCTTTAATACCACCTTTTATATTTCCAACAGAAAAGGTAATATCACAATCACCAGCATATCTAAAGAATTAATTATTCAAAAGTAATTAAATAAATCATATAAATTGTGAATAACATAACAAAACTAATATTCTTATTTACATAAATGATTAATACATACATAATATCTGCATCTATAATGACTTCATTTCTTGAAGTATTTTTATCATATGCTTTAATTCCATAAATTTTTAAAGGCTATAATTACAAGTAAAAATTAATGTTACTATTAATATATTTACAATAAAAATTATGATAGATGTAATGAAATACAAAGGTCAACTTACAATACGACCCAAGACCAATCTTTCAAATTGAAATCCTTTTACTTTATATTCTCGCAATTTTTCAACAATAGCAGGTTCTATACTTTGTTTACAAAGTTCACGAGCAAACTGGTTTATACTTGGCCAAATTTTATACAAAACCTTAGAAAATAATGAAAGTAACTTATATTTATATAAAATATGAAGTAATTTAATAGTACTTGTACTGAAACAAAATTTTACACACTTTATTTAACCACTCAGCTCTATCAAAATCAGGAAAATAAACCCAAGAAGGAAGTTCATCTAAACGACTCATTATTAATTCTTTTTCTTTGGCCATTACACTAGCTTGGGCAATAATTGCTTTCAATTCGTTGTCTTTTCTACGTTCTGTTTTCCATGCTATCAAAGCAACTGGTGCAATTAACCATGCTATATTTAAGTTTAGATATCCCCATCCCCAAAGAATACCAGCAGTTGCTAATTTAGTCAAAAATGATATGGTTAATGAACTTATGTTCATATATGGCCAAGGATTTGCCTTAGATACTTTATTGTCTTGGGATTTGCCTTCCATTCTTATGAAGTAATAATTAATATACAGCTTAATAAATCACTTATTTATTACAAATATTTACATAACTTTTTGTTATGTATGTTAATTTTCTCCAACCAATTTGTTTGCTTATATCTTTCCTGTAAAAAAATAAAATATATTTCATAAATATAATTTATTATAGTAATTAAAATGCATTACAAAACAAAAGAATACAAGTACAAGATAAAGAATGGTAAGATAACAATGACTAATAGTGGAAAAAGATTAAAAGTAAATATGCATTTAAATCACTCTTTGATGTAATCACGATGACCTTCATACTTGTAAAGATATCGAATTATTGTACAAATTATGATTAATATCAAAACTTCGTATGTAATTATCAAGATTATCACGTTTGATATTACCGAATGGTTACAAAGTGATAATGTATCGAATTTCTTTACGCAGATAAGACCGCTATCTATATATGTTCAGCACATATATAAGTATGCTAAGGAACATCGAGATTTCTAAATAAAGTGTGACACAAGATTACATTTCTAAACTTGCAAGGACCGAATAAAAATACTTTCGATTGAATCATTATTTATCTGCATAAGCAAGATGTTATCAATCGAGTATGGTGTTTGCACAAAAATGAATCATCAGCGATATTTTTCATGTATAAGCTTTTATTGAAATTTGTAGCCAAAACGATAAAAAGCATATATTAAACATTAAAATGAAAGCATACAGCACAATAGATAATACATTGTACAATATTTAGTTCAATTATATTTTACAAAATAGATTTCAATATATATAAACCCTATGTACATATTATTTATAATGTAAAATTACGTATAAATATAGGTGAAAAAGTGTGCAAATCTAAAATTATGTGCAAGCGTTGTTAGTTTTGTTAAAAACTGATATTTTTATTGCAATTTGCTTACACTTATAGCAAAGCCGTACGTGTGGGTACTTTATATGACTGCATAAGCTGTTATTCACATATGAGCACAGTTAAATGCGACAGTACTTCTCGATTTGTTATACCGTGGTCAAATGTTTTCGAGGACCAATCAATTATTACTGTGAAAGAATCACTTGAAGTGTCGCAACTAAAAGATGTCACTATATATATGCACGATCTACTAGTAGCTAACTTAACACATGTCGGAAACAATATTGCACATGCCACCCAAAGTGCTCTTTTTTTATTATTGTGTGAAATTTAGTGTCATAAAATACTTAACATTAGCACTGAATAATAAATTTTAAGGCAGTTTACATAGTTTCAATATTAATTTCAAGTAAAATATATTATATGTATACATATAAAGAACAGAATACTTTAAGCAAGTTATACTAATGATTAAATAAATTGATAACATAAATAAAAATTAGTAATTATATTCGTTTTATCCAAAGAATATCAATCAAGTCATTGGAAATATTATTTAAGGATTTATACATTTACGCAATTACTTATATATGTATAATTTGAATAACAACAGATGAAGTATTACATTTAACAGTGTATTTATAATCTTACTAAATTACATCAAATTAATTGTTTAGTTATACTTGCCTGCTTTTTCAAAAATAGGGAATAGTCGTAATACGAGAACATAATACCAATACTTTTACTTAACAATGGAACATTTTTCACGAAATATAGTAATACAAATAAATAATTAAATGTATTATTTAAAATACACGATTACATTTGCTGCATTAATTTATACGTATTAATAGTAAAAGTTAACATGTTTAATAAAACGCCATATTCTTTACTCTGCGCAGATACATGACGCATTGAGAAAAATCGTGTAGAACTATACAAATATAATGTATGAGAATGTTTATCACGAAAATAACATTCCCTTACTTTAAAAACTTGTGTTTCATTTTATTTCTTCGGCATAGTTTAGATTTTCTTACTTTGTATTATAAATTCTTTTAACATTTCGTATAAATTGATTACAAGTAGGAAAAGTCAAAATTGGAAAGTACCGCGTATACAGTGAAATAAAATTACATTTGATTTCTTTGCGTTATTACTTTGCGTCAGTTTTAAAATAATCTGTATTACATTAGTGTGTGAGTGTATGAGAGATTATAAGGATTTTCTTTAGACGTAATTAGAACGATCAAGCAAACGTAATTTCAAATAAATCAAGGAATAAATCGTCTAGAATTAAAAGTCTGCTCTTAGAAAAAATGCTTGCTTAATAGTCAGAAAATAGAGCTCGCTAGAATAAACTTTAATACTAAATTTTTAAGTTCATATCAGCCTGCGGCAGAATTAGTTTATTTTTAAATTGCGTCGTAATACTTGCTGCTGCGCACTCTTCTTGCGCATAATCGAAATCACAATCGAGTTCGATTGTGCTTGTAATTCTCGAACTGAACTGTTCTTTATTCGTAAACAATTTGCAATTATGTTTTATATTTTATGTTTATTGTTGAACTACTGAAAGAATCTATTTTTTCGCATCTAGGTCTACAATCTATATTTCGTCTTTAATTGTATTTAATATTTGCCGATTTAAAATTTTCAGTAGGTTTCTACATTATGAATTGTTAACAGAAATTGTTTACACAGATGATTTTCAGCAGTTTCCACTGTAAATTTAAACTAATAACTCTGAACTTTGCATTTAATCCAATTATTCTAATTAAATTCTTGTAATAAGGAGAATAATTGTATTTAAAATTTTTGTTTTGGATATTTGATACTATAACTTTTGCACAGACATTAAGATTTGGATTTAATTGTTAAGAAGAAAAATATATTGTATTAAATTAAATTATAAACAATAAA